CTCTCTCTTCTGAGGAGGCAATAGATCCCGTGGCGGCGCGGTGTTGATTTTGTGTTTTTCAGCTGCTGAATTCGGTGAAGTCCGCCTACAAGCTGAACGCTCTTGTTGGTTCAGCCTCGTCGCTCAATTCGAACAGTGTACGTTATGTTCCTGTCATTGTGACCTGAACACCTGATGATGGTGATGAGAGAGCGAGCGAGACGAGTGCATCTGAAAGAGATATGATCGCCCTACCTCGTTTGTGAAATGCTTAGCTAGCTCGTAAAATGCCTAAATGGGACCACGGTGTAGAGACCTCCGCGCTTCTGAAGTGCCGCTACAGTTACGATTTTACGCACTCGCTAGCATCTCTGCCTGAAAAAGAAGTAGATGCGTGGAAGGCGTTAAGGAATCGTGTGAGTGCAAAATGGCAAGAGGTCTGCTTGTTGGCCGCTGGCCTCGTCGTACGACCGGTTTTCTGATGAGTTCTCTATCTTAATGTGTTGATTGAGACGCCTGGAGTCGACGATTTGCGCGCAGATTATCGTAGGGCGGAAGACGATTAGACACGCGCGCTGACAGCGAATCTGACCTCAGCAGCAGGTTGCTGGCAGCGAATATTGGAACAAGGAAGTAAAAAGTGTTGAGAATGATAATTTTTAGGAGACCGAACTCGGGAAGCTGCTCAGCAAGTTGCTCTTCCAGCTGATGCTCATGAGCGACTCTTTGAATGATATGGTTCGCCTTGTCGACGAATCGCATGGAGCTCAGGTAAGCCGAAGTACTTCCAGAATATTTTAGGCCTTAAAAGTGCGATGGAAGGGTTTGGTTTGATCATCAAATGCATCTACCGTACTATGGGCGTCAATAAATCTCTGTCGAAATGCGTGTGATGGCGGTAGCGTTGTTAGCGCTGTGTCGTTTTATGTGCCGACACTTTCCACCGAGTGTTGATTTCATACCATGGTTCTACTTAACTTTTCCCATCAAAGGTTCTTCGAGATAATTGCGGAGAGAAAAGAAGTGGCGGAAATTCTTCCTAAGACTGCCTTTCAAAACATATGCTAAGAATTTCCGACTACAATCACGCTGAATGATCACAATCCATTGTTTCCGAAGTGGGGCTTTCACGCAGCTTTTCTGCTTGAGCTCACACAAGACTTGTTAGTAAATGTAGGCACATTGTGTGTGTG